TCGATACTACCACGAAACTGTAGACTCCAGAAGATGACCACAGGCTTGAAATCACAGAGAAATCTTTTTTTTTTTCCTCTTTGCTTTTTTCTTTGTCTTTTCTCTTGAATGTTTGTTATTGTTTTTTCATGAGTTGGAACTTTTTTTTTTAGTTATTTGGCTTTGTTTACTCCTTGTTTGTCTTTTCCTTCTTTCTTTCCCTCCTGTCTTCTTCACCAGTCTCCCAAAGCTGGGGGAATCTTCCTTTGTTTTTCAGCCTTGCTTTCAATCTCCTCTTCTTATATTTCCCTATTTTTCCCCTTATTCCTTTTAAATTTTCTCCCCTGAAAGTAAAATCACCCTATTGAGGGGATATCTGCTGTATATAATTTTCTGACTTGTTTTTGACTTTGTTATGTAACTATAAATCTTGTACGCAAGGTTTATAGGTGGCAAATTAACAGGTACCACAGTTTGTCATTTTCTACATTGTACTTGATGCTATTATTGTATTACTTTAGCCAAAGTTACATAGTTGTTCAGTTGTTCTTCCTTGTATACCAATACCAAGATTGGGATTCATAAACAGTACCATAGGGCACCACCAAAGAACTTGGGGCTAGGCCAAATAGGCAACAACTTCTCATCCCTAATAAATTAAAGAGACAGGATCTTGAGACAGACTAAAAAGCCAAAAGCCAGCAACATCTAGAAAACATCTCTGAAAAGTAGCTGTTTCCTAAGGAGATCTCAATAATAGTAACAAAGCTACCTACCACAAGCAATTTACAAGCATCAATGCAGAAAACAAATTAAAATAGAAAATCAGAAGACATGAAACCTCCAGTTCAGACCCAGACCTCCAGTTCACCCAAGATAAATCCAGGGGTCATTAAGACTGAAAAAATCAAAAGTCACCCAAGTGAACTTTCTGAAATGGTGGCTCCAGAAGAAAGCAGATAAATGAGGCTCTAGAAAAAAACAACTCAGAAATAATTTTGCAGATAACTAAAGAAATGATGACCATAATGAAGGACATGGTTAGGGAATCTAGAATAGCTACAGATAAAAAAAATACAGGAGCTTAGGAAAGCGATGGAAAGCATCAATGCCCACATAGGAAAGAATTGGACTGCATAAAACAAATTCAAACAGATATCCAGGAGATTAAAAATTCTATGGAAAGTATATGCAGCAGAATCAACCAATGTGAGGACAGAATATCAGATCTAGAAGACAGGTTTGCAGTTAGGGATCATCAAATGAAAGACTTATTAAAAATAGCAAGGACCACAACAAATCAAAACAACAGCTACTAGATGATGAAACACGAATAATATTAGACTGACAGGAATCACTGAAAAATCAGAAGATAGAATAAAGCTGGGGATTTAGCTCAGTGGCACTGCACCTGCCTGGCAAGTGCAAGCTCCAAGTTCAATTCCTGGTATTAAAAAATAAAGATTATAGTACAAAACATAAAAAACCTGATCAGAGAAGTAAAGGCAGAAAACTCCTAAGCATGGAAAAAGAATTTGAGATACAGATAAGTGAGGCATGCAGAACTCCAAATGGCCATGATTACAAAAAAAACTATACCAAAGCATGTAATAGTAAAGATTCCAGAAATTCAACATAAGAAGAGTATGAAAAGCTGTTAGAGAAAAGAAAGAAATCACCTAGGAAAAGGAAAGTCCATTAGAATCACAGCAGACTTCTCAACACAAATCCTCACGTCAAGGAGGGCTTGGCATGAAGTATTTCAAGCCCCAAAAGAAAACCACCTTCAACCCAGAATGATGTACCCCGTAAAATTAAGTTTCAAAATCAATGGAGAAATAAGATACTTCTATGATAAAGAATGCCTGAAGAAATTAATGAACAACAAATCACCAGTCCAAAATGTCCTAAAGGATACGCTAGAAAAAGACAACGAAGTCAACAATTCCATGAATCCCAAAAGCATGAATCCACCAGGCAAGGCAAGTAATTAAACAAAAGGGGAAGAAAGGGAAATGACAACAGAGAGATGAAAATTAAAACAACACTGAAATTCCACCTCACTCCAGAAAGAAATGGCTACTATCAAGAAATCAACCAATAACAAATGCTGGCAGGGATGTGAGGAGAAAGGAACCCTTCTCCACTGTTGGTGGGAGTGCAGACTGGTGCAACCACTCTACTGATGTGGAAATCAGTGTGGAGATTTCTCCAAAGACAAAAACCAGAAGTTCCATTCAACCCAGCTATTCCTCTTCTTGATGTCTTCCCAAAACAATTCAAAAACATCGTAACACATGATATATGCACACCTATATTTATAGAGGCACAGTTTGTAATAGCTAAATCTTGGAAACAGCCCAAATGCCCATCACCCAATAAACGGATAAAGATGTGGTTTTTTGATACAGTGGAGTACTACTCTGCATAAAGAAGGATAAGCTTGAGACATTTCTAGCTAAATGGATGCACCTTGAGGCCATACTCTTAAGTGAAATAAATCAGACACACATGTTTAAGTATTGCAGTGTTTCTCTAGTGTGAGCAACTGAAGTGTAAATAAGAGCCAAAATGTGTAATAGATATTGAGAAATGGTAAAAAAATGTTCAAATAAGAAGGGGAACAGGGGAGGGGGGAGAGTGAAAGGAAAGAAGGGACGAGCAAAAAAAGAATAGAAGAAGAAAAATGGAAACAAAGCTTTTCTAAATACGGAGGGGGTCCGGGGATTTAGCTCGGTGGTTCTGGCACCTGCCTCACAAGCGCAAGGTCCCAAGTTCGATCCCTGATACCAAAAAAAAAAAAAAACATGGAGGGAAAGAGGAGTTGAAGAGAGAGGAGGGGAATGGGAAAAAAAGGAGAAGCATGATATACCATGTACAGGTTCATATTCCCTACGATGAATGTTATTACATGTATCTAAAATGCACCAATAAAAAATTTAAAAAATTTAAAAAACCATGGCCATCTCCAATAATTAAAGCTTGTCTAATCATTTAAAATTTGGATACCATCAAATTGTTTTCCAAAGAGGTTTGAGCAATACTCTTGTTTCTCTTCAGATTGTATAAATCTTTCACCTTTTACCAGAGGTTTCATCAGCTTATACTCCAGCTAATAAATAGAGTGTAAGTCGAATGAGAGGCATCTGTATAAAAGCAGTGAACAATAAATTCAATGAGAAGCATTCTACAGTGAAGGTACAAATCAGCATGTCCATTATCAAGAATATAATGTGGCACTCTATAAGGAAGTTGAAAAAGAAAGGTATATTTCTTAATTCACTAATTTGAATGACAGAAATCAATCCTATGGAAACAATTAAAGATTCATAAAAAGATCCATATACAAAGATTTATCATTTATAAAACTGAAAAAATATTAACAATCAATAAAATGATTAGATGTTATTATGCTAAGTTCAAAAGCAGAAAACTTTAATAAAATAGTAATATGGAAAATACGCATGATCCAATAAGTGAAAAGAGAATACATACATCTAAAGGCATAATAGAGCGAATAGGTAGCTTATAAAACAGACTGTACTCGGGGGTTGGGGATTTAGCTCAGTGGTGCTGCCGCTTACCTTGCAAGCACAAGGTTCGGAGTTTGATCTCCGGTACCATAAAACAGACTGTACAGCAACAGCACATCATATAAAGTACATATAATGCAGAGTGTGTGTACAAAACAGCCTGAAAGACTGTACATGCATCTCTTCAAGTAGTGTGATTACAGGTGCTTTTAAAATTTTTTAAATTAATTAATTTTTAATGGACAATTTTATATATATATATATATATATAAAATCATTATCTCACATACATTCTTTTTGTGGTGAGAAAACTTACTTTTTTGCCAATTTTGAAACATACAACGCATTATTGCTTCTAGTTGCAGGTGCCATAATACACAATAAATCTTCTGAATTTATTCCTCCTGCCTAATTGGAATTTTGTGGCCTCTGACCATAAATTTGTGGCCCAGCCCCACCTCTGTGAACCTCTGGTAACACTATTCCACTGTTTCTATGAACTCAACTTTTTTACACTTTAGTAGGGTGCTTTTAGGATACTTCTGTTTCTTTTTCCCAAATATGCATTACTTATATAAGATTTTTAAATACAAAAATACATTACCTTAAAATAAGAATCAAAAGCATTTTTAAAAAGGACACAACCCCATATAGAAAGTATGAACTCAACTTTTAGCATGTAAATTTTACAAATGATCCTTAAACTCTGCATTTGTTTTTCTCTCAGGAAGAAAATATACCAAATAGCGATAGTAATTATCTCAAAAGTAGAAATGACTTTTATTTTCTCCTTCTGTCATTTTCAATTTCCACAATAATCAGGGGAGGAGGGGTAGGAGGAATATAGTTTTAAAGCAACAGCCACTTACACTTCAAATTAGGCCCACCCAACCACCCACAGTTCTTAAAGTAGTGGTTCATGGGCCAGGCATGTAGCTTAGTGGTACAGCGCCTGAATGGCAAGTATGAGGCCCTGAGTTCGATTCCCGGTACCAAAAAAAAAAGTTGTGGTTCTTAAAGTTGTCCCAAGACTCTGGTCTGTGGCACTTTTAGGATTAGCCACTGCTCTGACATAATGAATGTCCTCTCTCCCCCAAGATTCCTGCAAGTCAGGGGACCCAGGAGCCAAGCAAGAAGACTGTATGACATACATCAGCAGAAAAGTTACTTTTGCACTGAAGAATTTTACAGAAGTTAGTTTCTGGTTGGGGGTGGGGAACAACAGGAAAGAACTGCTGCCAACCAATGTAGATATGATTCATCCTTCAAATATACTACACACTAACATGTCTCTACCATAAGGTACTGACAGGAACCAGAAAATAAAATGTTTTATCAGTAAACTAGAGATTAGTCGAGACAAATTTAATGACAATTATTGGCTCTTTAAAATCTACAAGAAAAATCTTTAAAGCTAGTTTATACCTAAAATTCTTCTGATGATTAGAAGTGTCTTACCAATTAGCAAAACATATGCAAAATAATTACCTCTTCCTTTTCATGGAGCATAATATGCGCTTTGAGACTAGCCACTCTGGAGAACTTCTTGTTACACACAGGGCAAGTAGGGTCTTCTGCATTGTGGGTACATTTGTGAAGTGTCAGGTTGAATTCAACATTAAATGTTTGGGGGCACTGATCACATCGATGTGGCTATTTGGAGAGAAAAGTAAAGAAATCCCTGAAATATAATTTTCCCACAGGTGCCTGTTCAATATACATTATTAAAATACTGGGGCTGGGGATTTAGCTCAGTGGTTCCGCCGCCTGCCTCCCAAGTGCAAGGACCCGAATTCAATCCCCAGTACCAAAAATAAAAAAATATATTAACAAGTACCACAATGTACAGACACTTTAAAGTCTCTTCTAGACCTGAGTCAATACATCCAAAAGAGATACCATAAAGCTGCTACATGATTTCCAAAAGGATTATTTTTTAAGACTGAGTCTTGTTATGTAGTTTAGGCTGGCCTCAAACTCACTATGTAGCTCAGGCTGGCCTCAAATTCACAGTGATCCTCTCGCCTCAGACTTCTAACCCCTGAGATTACAGGCCTGCGCCTACAAACCTGGCTCAAAGAATTATAAAGAAAATATGTATTTGCAGAAAATATTCCTACTATGAAATGTTACATACAAACGTATCTAGTTATAGTCTCTATGAAAACAGATGTGAGAAACTTCAGCCCATTATTTTTTCCTTCTGTTTCTGACCAACTCATTGTTACCACTTCAAATAAAATATGTAACCATATAGATTTTTAGTAATTCCAACTGGAAGGTATTATCCTACTTACTGGTAAAAAGCCAACACAACCCCTGGTGGAAAGATTCTAACCTTTTGGACTGTCCAGCAAGGACAGCTCTATCTGTAAGCACCAAGGCCACCTTCTACTTGCACAGCTGTGTAGCAGCATGTGTTCAGGACTGAGCCAGAAGCGACTCCCAGAGCTCTGAGAAGAGAGCAGGCGTTTCTGCCCTTCTCCCAGCTTATATAAGCCTACCAGAGAAAAGTCGGCATTCACTTTGGAACTGCTACAGGCAGTTCCTGTTTAAACTGCTACAGGCAAAGCCTTCCATTGGACTAGACACTAATATTCTTTGTTGTTTTTTTTTTCTTTGTTTTGTTAAGACACTAACAGTCTTGATATATCCACAAGGGGTACCACAAAAAAGGATTCAAAGCTCAACTTAAGAACTACTACATAGGGGAAATTAGACAGACTCAGTTAAATACCACGTTTTCTTTATGAGAACACTAAAAAATTGAATAAACAAACAAGAGAGATGACAGGAAACCACAGAGCTGGGGACTGAGAAGGGGACAAGAGGGAGCAAGGAGGAAAAAGTGAAGGGGGTAATGGGATGAAAAATGATAAAGATATGTAAAATGCATGTATCAATTTCCCAAAATAAATTCTACCATCCTGTAATACTAATATGCACAAATGAGAAAATTAAAAATATTTTTTAGATGACAATCTAGGGGCTGGCAAACAGATCAGTGGTACAATGTGTTCATGCTTAGTATACATAAGGCTCTTGGTTTAGTCCAAGCACCAAAAAAAAAAAGATAGAAAGATAGTACAGTACTGCTCCCTACCGAATGATCCAAAACATCTACAATTCCAGGCAAGACCTCTTGAGGATAAAACTCCCTGCTGGAAAGCTGGACATGATGGCACATGCCTGTAATCCCAGCACTCAGGAGGCTCAAGCAGGAGAATGACAGCAAGCTGAAAGCCAGCCAGGGCTACACAGTCAGTTCAAGGCCAGCCTGAACCACATAGTGAAACCCTATCTCAAAAACACAAACTCTGCTGTTCAGTCATTTAGGAAATTGAAACTACTGAAAATTTTGAAAATATTTCCACTCCTATTTGTCCACTCATAAATAACGTTGATACATTTACTAAGACAGGCCCTAAAAAAATTAAAGCATTTATACAAAATAAAATACCCTACAATTTAATAATCTTTAGGTGAGAAAATCTAGATTTTATACACTGATTTTTACAATACCTCCAGTGTCAGTGCTCATGTCCGTGACACTCCTTTTAGAAATACATACCTTGTCATTTCGCTCATGATCCCTCATGTGGCGTTGAAACTGGGACTCTTTAGGAAAAGACAGCAGACAGATTTCACATTTATGGAAGTTTGGGACTGGGCAGTCACAATCAATGTTCTCCGCATCCAATGTTAAAACTCCATCTATGAAAGTGCACGAGTACAGACAATAAATGCCAGCTGCTATTCTCACTGCATAACTAAAACTATGTTATTGGGTTATTATTTTATAACCTAATTACACCAGAGACTTATGAGAAATTTTACACGAGATTAATATGTTGAGTGTTTTTAATGGGCACGTCTCAGAGTTAGAAATGAGATGTGTTGAGATGAGCAAGATGGGACAAGTGCACTCTAAATACTGGTCAGTAGGGTTCCTATTAACCAGAAAATCGCTTCCTGAGGCTTCACAACCATACACACAACACCAAAATGAGGGGTTTTTTTTAACTTTAAAGAGTCACTTACTCTTTCAAAGTCACTAGGAACAATTTCTTCTCTAAGTCATCTTGAAAGTACACCAAACTGCACAGCAAAAGAAACCACCAACAGAGTGAAGAGACAACCCACAGAATGGGGAAAAAGTTTAGTAGCTACTCTTCATACAAAGGACTAATATCTATAATATATAAAGAACTCAAAAGAAATTAGACTCCCCAAATTTAAAGATCCAACCCAAAAACGGGAATCTGAAAAGAATATACACTTTTCAGATGAAGAAGTACAAACACCAAATAAATGTATGAAAAAAATGTTCAACATCACTGGTCATTTGAAAAATGCAAATTTAAAACAACACTGAGATTCCATCTCATTCCAGAAAGAATGTCTATCATCAAGAAATCAACCAATGATAAATGCTGGTGAAGACTGTGGGGAAAAAAGAAGCCTTCTCCATTGCTGGTGAGAGTGTAAATTGGTACAACCCCTATGAAAATCGGTATGTAGATTCCTCAAAGAACTAGAGGTCCCAGGCCAGGGATTTAGCTCAGTGGTTTTGCCACCTGCTGCACAAGTACAAGGACCAGAGTTCGATCCCCAGTACCAAAAAAAACAATAAAAAACCCAAAAAATCTAGAGGTTCCATTTGACCCAGCTGTTCCGCTTCTAGGTGTCTTCTCAAAAGAATTAAGCATCATACCACAGTAATATATGTATACTCATATTTATAGCAGCATAATTTATAATAGCTAAATCTTAGCCCATATGGCCAGCAAGAGATGAATGGATAAAGAAAATATAGTATTTATATACAATGGAGTATTACTCTGCCATAAAGAAGGTCAAACAAGCCATTTTTAGATAAATGGATGCAACTTGAGATCGTAATTTTAAGTGAAATAAATCAGACACACAAGTTTAAATATCACAGTCTTTCCTGGGAGAAACTCAAAGGGTAAATAAGGAGCAAAATGGAGGACAGATACTGAGAAGTAGGAAGAACATGTTCAAATGGGAAGAGGAATGGGGGGGATGGAAGGGAAAAAATGTAAGCAAAGCTTTTGTAAATGGGAAAGGGAAGATTAAAAGGGGCATGGGGAAAAAGATGAATTAAGACATATTATATACAGGTACAAATTCCCTATGATCAATATAATCATTATCTATGGCAAATATGTATTAATAAAAATAAACAAACAGAAGAGCCAAAAAAAGTACACCAACAACCACAATAGCTTTTTAAAACACTTAATAAACTAAACTTTAGTAGAAACATCAAAGCCTTTAAATGCTAATTCACTGACTTAATCTATCTCTGAAAACTGCTGCATAGAAAAATTAAGTCAAAAGAAAAAACTTGTTCTCTCATGCAGTCATGGTTTAGAAAGACAAAGGACTGCAATGCCTTGGCAAATCATGTTTCCAAAAAGGGTTTCGATGAAAAATAAATAAATACATACATACATACAAAAAGGGTTTCAATGAACCCATCTAAGTAAAGCTTAGAAGTATTTTCATCAGTGGTTCCGGCGCCTGCCTCACAAGCACCAGGTCCAGAGTTCGATCCCCGGTACAAAAAAAGAAAAAAATGTATTTTCAAATTAGAATATGACAGTGGGCCATGGTGTTGTATGCCTGTAAACTTAGAGGAGGGCAGGAGGATCATAAATTTAAGCCCAGCCGGGGCAACTCCATGGAATGTTATCTCAAAATTTATAAATGAATGAATGAATGAATGAATGAATGAATGTTTTAAAAGGCCTGGGGCTCAATCCCTACCTACTGGGGGGAGAAAAGGAATATGAAAAATAACATAAAAGAGCAATCACAAAATCTGTCAAAAATGTCAGAAAATAAAGATGTCCTAAGTCAAATTTTATCCAAACACATCAGATTTCAGAAATGTGGACTAGGGTAAGGGCTAAGCTTAAGACCCAAGAAGCTCAAGAAAGGCTCTACTTCTTCAAAGAACTGGTGAACACAGGCATTCATTCAGTGTTTGTTGCAGACCTTCACAGTCCTGTGTGGCGAACAGTCTGGGTGTCATTCCAGCACCTGCCAAGTCTCCTGGCTAAGGCAGAACATGCACTGTGGCTAGGACTGTCAAACTGGAAGGATGAGAGGTACAAAGAACAGAAGTGGGACAGAGGCAGGTTCTCCACCTATAACAGTTCAAATGTTCTGCAGACTCTTAAGAAAAAGGGCAAATTCCCAGGTTCAAGAAATATTAATGTAATTCAAAAAACTGCGACTTTGCCAGGTGCGCTGGCGCACACCTGTGAGCCCAACACTCAGAAGACTGAGGCAGGAAGATTGCCACAAGTTTGAGGCCAGCCTGGGGTACACAATGAGTTCAAGGCCTGAGTGAACTACATAGTAAAATCTGTCTCAAAAGAACAAAACAAAACCTACAACTTCACACATTAAAAGTCTACTGAGAAAGATATAAACATATTTATTCTTAATGACATCCATGTAGACCAAACTTCCAAAATTTCTCCACTAAACTACTACCAAAAATATTTATTGATTGCTCAAGACCAAATAAAATGACTGTTAAAAATAAAAAATAAAATAAAATAACTGTTGGGACTTTATCAACTAATTTATTATTCCCTTTGGAAAAGTTTCTAATGTAGTAAGAAAAAAAGACTTCTAATAAAATATATGATGAAAATTATGTTTTAAAAATTCAGTAGTAAAAAAAAACAAACAAACAAATAAGGTAAAATGAAAATTCAGTGAAGATTGGATGCATGGCCAGGTGTAGTGGCACACACCTGTGATCCAAAACTTGGGGGGCTGAGGTAGAAGGATCACTGTGAGTTCAAGGCCAGCCTGGGCTATGTGATGAGTTCAAATCAGTCTGAACTACACAGCCAGGCCCTGTCTTAAAAAACAATAATAATAATAATAATAATAATAATAATAATAATAATATTGAATATAGCAATAAAAGAGCCCCTTGACTTAATTTCTAAAATACAAAGTTAAAGCCAGGCACACCGGCACAGGTCTGTAATCTCAGCTACTGAGAAGGATGACATGAGAGGATGGTGAGTTAGAGGCCAGCCTGGGCAACTTAGGAGGACTCCATCTCTAAATAAACAAATAAGTACAAAATTAAAAAGCTATTTCAGAATATAAGGGAAGACAACTTTCACAGCTTCTATGTAGAAACTTCTTAATATTTTATCCAAAAATGAAAAGGAACTTAAACTGTAACTGACAGATAAAAACCTGAGAGCCAAGCATGGTGGTGCATACCTATAATCTCAGTGCTATGGAAGGCTGAGGCAGGGGGATCACAAGTTGAAGCCCACCCTGGGCAACCTGGCTATGCGAGACGGTGTTTCAAATAGAAAATAAAAAGGGGTTGGGGATGTAGCTTGGTGTGAAGGCTCTGGGTTAAACTGCTAGTAGTGAGAGGAAAAAAAAAAGCCTCATAGACATGAAATGATCCATTTCTTTTCAGTACCAGGAATCAAACTTAGGACCTTGCACTTGCCACACAGGAGCGGCACCACTGAGCTAAATTTCCAGCCCACGATCCATTTTTAATTTGAAAAATGTGTTTTATTTATAAACTAAGACTTTTCTGAAATACATCCTAGGAAGCAAGACTTCCCTTATTTATCAAAGCTCGACATAATTAATTACATTTTCAGTAAGCCCCAAACAGTGATACTATGACATTAACTTGGTACCAAGACAAACCTGTAATAAAATATGACTGGAGCCAGGGATTTAGCTCAGTGGTTTCGCCGCCTGCTGTGCAAGTGCAAGGACCTGAGTTTGATCCCCGGTACCAAAAAAAAAAAAAAAAAAATACACATCCAACTGGTGTTGGGCCAGGGATTTAGCTCAGTGGTTCCACTGCCTGCCTTGAAAGCACAAGGACCCGAGTTCAATCCCCAATACAAAAAAAAAAAAAAAAAAAACACAACAAAAGCTTGTTGGGCTAGGGATTTAGCTCAGTGGTTCTGGCACCTGCCTCACAAGAGCAAGGTCCCGAGTTCGATCCCCGATACCAAAAAAAAAAAAATATGACTGGAGCCAGGTGCAGTAGTGCAGATCTATGATCCCAGCTACTCAGGAAGCTGAGGCAGGAGGATCAAAAGTTTGAAGCCAGCCTGGATAATTCAGCCAGACCCTGTCTCAAAATTTTAAAAGTGCTGAGGGTGTAGCTCAGTGGTAGAGCACTTGCCCAGCAGGTGCAAGGCCCTGCAATCAATCCCCAGTACTGAAGAAAAAGAAAAAAAGTGACTGGAGAAAGGAAAAAACCCAAATAGCTTTAGTTTCTAGAGTGAGGATAACTTTACAATCCAAAGCCCCTCTGGGCTGTTTCTCTTCTTGGGACCACCCTTCTGCACTAAGGAGCCAGTCCACCAGACTTCCTCCCCAAGTGGGTGCCTCGGCCATCTGAGCTGCCTTTATTTCCCGTCTGCTCAGTCCACCCTTTGTGGGCATTGCCTCACATCTTTTGTAACCCATCTCTTCAAGTGCATTCACATTTTTGGCCCCCAGAGTATGTGTGGTCTAGAAAGAAGTCTACTGAATTAGTACATCCTTTGGTGTGAGATCTAAACCTAGAGGAGGTCACAGGTGAGCACCCCGAATCTGCTACGTCACACTTATGTCAACTGCCACTGTCCTGCAGTCTCTGCAGCCCCAGAGGCTGTCAGGTTCTCTAAAGGGTG